CGTCTATAATAACAGCTATCAGACAAGTATTAACATGGCTCCATATGAGGCATTGTATGGCCGCTCCTGTAGGCCGTCGATCTGTTAGGAAGAGGTGAATGATAAAAAATTATTCGGCCTAAATATTGTGGAAGAGACTACAGCCAAGGTAGTTAAGATCAGGAAGAACACCCAAACAACTCAGAGTAGGCAGAAGAGTTATGCAGATACCTAGATGAAGGATTTGAAATTTAAAAAAGGTGATTGAGTGTTTCTTAATATCACCCCTTTCAAGGGGATCAATAGGTTTGACAAGAGAAAAAAAATTAAATTCCCAGTTTATCGGGTCATTTGAGATCTTAGACTGGATTGGCACGACCACGTATAGACTGACACTACCTCCAGAGCTATTTAGAATTCATAATGTGTTTTACATATCCATACTACGCAAGTACAACCTGGACCCCTCACACATTCTGTCCCACGAGCCCCTTTCACTCTAAGAGGATCTATCTTATGAGGAGGTACCAGTAGATATTGTAGACTAAAATAGTAGAGTACTTTTCAACCGAAAAATTCTCTTCATCAAGGTCCTATGGCAGAACATACGTAGGAAGAAGCCACTTGGGAACTGGAATCAAGCTTCAGGGCCTAGTACCCCCAGTTGTTCGACTGAGTGAGAGAGTGACTAATTTGAGGAACCAAATTTTCTTAAGAGAGAGAGAGTTGTAATATCAAGATTCGAAAAGCGACTCGAGATAATTTTTTTTTATTAAAATATTTTATTGAAATAATTATTTAATTTAATTTATTTTTATTTAATTAAAATTTTGAAAAAAAAAATGAATTAAGGATGAGATTAAAAATAATTTTGGGAAAAAAATGGTGAAAATTTGAGTTCGGGAAATGTTTTTGAAAGAAAAATTAGAAATAGAGAGTCAAAGTGCAAAAAAAAAAATTCAGCTCAGTCAGCAGCCCCGACAAACCGAAGCACGCCGTATGTCAAAACACGCTGATGTCTATGCCAAGCAAGAGGCCACGTGGGCGATCCGCGTGTTCAGCGATCCAACGACTCAGGTACGATCCTGCGTGTGTGAACGGCTTAGATTCGTTCCCTCCTTAGGAGTGATCAGATGGACGAGATCAATCGCGATGAATGGTTCAGATTTATTTCCTCCTTAGGTGCGATCAGACGGATGAGATCAATCACAATGAACGTTCCAAATTAACGGTAGATGGGTATAAATAGCTGCATCGCAGGGGAACCCAAATCCTAGCCGCCAGCCTCTGCCGAAGAAGAAGAACTAGGTGCTAGAAAAGGAGGCCGACCACCGCCGCACTGGAGTCGCTGTCGACCGTCAAAAAATGTAAAATTTTCTCCTACCAGCTCGAAATTCGATTTTGAGTATCCATATGGCCAAATCGGAGAGAGAGGGATGACGAGTAAGCCAGAAATCGGGGCAAAGTTCAATAGAGCCGCTGTGGCCAAAACCAAAAAATTCCTCTGACCAGCCCCTTTCTGCTTCCTATTTCATGCAACTTTTCAATCATTGTGTCTACCATCCTTTTTGTGTAGATTAGCTGAAGAAGGAACCCCAATCGTGAAAGAGAACCTGCGGAGCCGCCGCACCCGGAGACCCCAACGCTGGTAGGTTTAGCTTTTCTATAATTTGTGCCAAACGAGACTCCCTAATGTATTTTTCTGCAGGATACATGTAAACTGACCAAATCGGCCAAACTTGCAGCCAATGCGACTACTCCCGTGACGTCGCACCGTATCGAAACTCTAAATGGCGAAAAAAGTTTGGAC